GGGGGGGGGGTCCCTTTTCAGTATTACAGAAGAGGGGCTGTGGAACTTGCCCCTCTCTGCGCCCCCCAGCTGGGCTGGCCTGGTGCCCAGATCAGGGGCCTCTCATTGCAGGTCAGCAGGCTGCCTGCTGGGCCACCTTTGAAGACCAGACACTCTTTCCCAGAGACGAGAGATCCGGCCAGCTGGGCCCATGGTCCGCTTCCAAAGCAAACAGGAAAACCTATGGTGGGCCAGGCTGTGCCTCTTTCTTTGTTTGGAGAACGGGTTAGGACAACTGGATCTGTGACTTTTTCTGCTGCAGAGGTGGGAGGGGGCTGCAGGCCCCGTCGGGGCCGTGGTGAGACGCAGTTCCCGGGGCTGCACGGGTCCCGGGTGCCAGCCCTTAGGGACACCATACAGATGGCCTTCCTTGGCCAATTCTAGCCCTGATGGAGGGGACTGGGAGCACGTGCTACGTCACCCTTGGGCGTCACCATGCCCGAGTTGCGGCCCTGCCCTGGACACTTGGCTTCCCACTAGTGTCCCTTGGCCATCGGCCCAGGCCTGATGGGGGTGGCTGCCCGTCACTGCAGTGGGAAGCCCACGCCGCCCGGACCAGCCAGGGTCCTGGGGCCAGGTCTCTAGAGAAAAAGAGGGAAATGTTGAGGGCTTGGAGCACCTTCCCTCTGACAAATGGGCACCCAGGATTGCCCTGAAGATCCAGCACTCAGACCCTGGCCTCCTCTGGCCGGGTGATGGGTGGCAGCTGCTCACTCTGGCAGTTGTGCCTGGATGAATTCATGTCCGTGTGGGTGACTACACTGACCCAGCCCTCGCACGGGCTCAGGGAGTGGCGGATGAATGGAGTCCTCGAGGAGCTGACAGATGTGAGTCCTGAGGCCCGTTTGGCCCCTGCAAGAGTCCTGCCTGACAGCCAGGAGCGGAGGTGGGCTCACAGAAGGGCAGGCAGTTCTCCCAGGGAAAGAGTAGGGGCAGAGCCCGGCTGGTGTGGCTCAGCGGTTGAGCATTGACCTAGGATCCAGGAGATCAAGGTTCGAATCCCTGCTAGGGCACATGCCCGGGCTGTGGGCTCCATCCCCATCGGGGGGCATGCAGGAGGCCCCCCATCAATGATTCTTTCATCATCATTGATGTTTCTATCTCTCTCTCCCTCTCCCTTCCTCTTTCTCTGTAAAGATATATTTAAAAAAAAAAAAAAGAATAGGGGCAGAGACACCAGTGGAGATGGGCCAGAAAGACTTCGATAAGGCGACTCCCGAATTGACCCGTTCATTTGTTCATTCGCCCGTGTGTGCATTCACTGAACAAGTCCGTGCTGAGCACCTACTATGGGCCAGGCATGCGCCAAGTGCTGGTCGGCAGAAGCAGCCCAACGGGCCCTGCTCTCACGGGGCCCAAATCATCAACCACAGGGATCAGATGGAAAACTCACTGAGTTACAGGGCTTTGAGGAGGAGGTTTGTGGTGCTGACGGAGCTGATAGGGGCTTGACCCGGTCAGGGCACAGGCCCGGGGTGCAGGCTCCTCGATCCCCAGCAGGGGGCGCGCAGGAGGCGGCCCATCAATGACTCTCCCCATCGATGTTTCTCTCTCTCTCCCTCTCCCTTCCTCTCTCTGAAATAAAAATAAAAGAAAGGAGGGGATGACTTTCAGCTTCTGCCGCCTGGCGTTTCCTATCTTTCCTCCCTAAATCTGTCCAGCGAAGGAGAGCGGTGAACGCCATCGTGATGGGGATGGAGGTCTCAGGAAGCTAAAGCTACCTACCCAAGGTCACGGCCGCTGGAGAGGTTAAGCCTCCCCCAGCTTCCTCTCTTAAAAAGGCAAAAACGACTTATTGTTTCATTCTACTCAGCGAGCTGAGAATTGAGGAAAATGGACAGAGAGGAGGGGCCTCTGCCTGCCCCAGGGGAATGCGGGGAGGCTGGGAGCCAGGCACCGAGGAGCCGGGCATCCCTCCAGCCCCCGGCCGTAGGGCAGACCCGGTGTGTCCCAGGCCCTGAAAGGGCCTCTCCCCTTCTCTGCCTCTCCCACCTCCCGCTCCTGGGAAGTCCTTCCCGCACTCTAACCTCCACCCCACTTCTGTCCCCATCATCTCAGCTGGCACCTAGATAGCGCTGCTCCCCTGCCCGCTGGCCTGAGGCCTGCCCGCTACCCTTCACCAGCGGTCAGGCGGGCCAGACGGCGGGCTCTGGGGTGGCCAGCAGCCTGTAACCGGATACTCTTTGCCTCCAGCAGGTGCACAGTTCCTGGATCTCCTCTCCAGAGCCTGGGCAGAGCACCCCCCTGCCCAGCCTAGTGACCTTCGGCAGCCTGAGCCCTGGTTAATTTTTGCCCAGTCTGCAGGCTGCGGGGCTCCTCCCCTCTGGGATATAAGCCTTGCCCCAGGCTGCCCTGTTCTCTGCCTACCCTGAGCCTCCGGAGCTCCCTCCCCACCCTCACCATGGCCAAGGGCTTCTACATTTCCAAGGGCCTAGGCATCCTGGGCATCGTCCTGGGGGTGGCGGCCGTGTGCACCATCGTCGCCCTGTCCGTGGTGTATGCCCAAGAGAAAAACAAGAATGCCGAGGTCTCCGCCGGGAGCCCCACCACCGCTGCCCCCCCTGGCACCACCACGGCCACCACCACGGCCCCCACCACCTTGGACCAGAGCAAGCCGTGGAACCGATACCGTCTCCCCAAGTCCCTGGTGCCCGACTCCTACCAGGTGAAGCTGAGGCCCCACCTCACCCCCAATGGGCAAGGCCTGTACATCTTCGAGGGCTGGAGCACTGTCCACTTCATGTGCCAGGAGCCCACCAGCACGATCATCATCCACAGCAAGAAGCTCAACTACACCAACACCCCCCAGGGGCACAAGGTGACCCTGAAAGCCTTGGGGGGCACCACAGCCCCTGAAATCGATAAGACTGAGCTGGTGGAGGTCACCGAGTACCTGGTGGTGCACCTGAAGGGCCCGCTGCAGAAAGGCACCATGTACGAGATGAACAGCACGTTCCAGGGAGAGCTGGCCGATGACCTGGCCGGTTTCTACCGCAGCGAGTACATGGACGGAAACATCAAAAAGTAAGTTGGGCCCGGCCGGTGCGGCTCAGCGGTGGAGCCTCGACCTATGATGGGAGGGGGGCTCAATCCCCGGCAGGGGGTGTGCAGGGGGCAGCCGATCCATGACTCTCTCATCATGGGTGTTTCTCTCTCTCCCTTCCTCTCTCTGAAATCAATAATGACATATTTAAAATTTTTTTTTTTTTTAATATATTTTTATTGACTTCAGAGAGAGAACAGGAGAGGGCGGGAAGAGAGACAGAAACATCAAT